AAATTAATTTTAAAAAAGAAAATTGGAAAATAGTATTTATAGCACGGTCCATTTTTGGCTAAAATGTAATAATATAGCTACAACAATATATGTACAGACAAAATGGGGAAATATACACTGAATTGTTAAATGTTGTTACTCTGCATAGGGTAGTGATGGGGTGGGCTTAGGGGAGAATTTTGACTTTCTATGATGCATGCTATGGCCTGAATGTTTGTGTCCTTGTGAAATTCGTATGTTGAAGCCTCATCCCCAAAGTGAGGGTATCTGGAGGTGGGACCTTTGGAGGTCCACCCTCATGAATGGGATTAGTGCTCCTATAAAAGAGGCCCCAGAGAGCTACCTTCCCCTTCCCCACTGTGAGGACACAGGGAGAAGGGGCTGTCTATGAGCCAGGAAGTGGGTCCTCACCAGACATGGAATCTGCCAGCATCCTGATCTTGGACTTCGCAGCCTCCAGAACTGTGAGGAATAAATTCCTGTTGTTTATAGCCACCCAGTTTATGGTATTTTGTTATAACAGCCTGAGTTGACTATGTGCCCATTAAAACATATGTAATGTTTTAATTATTTCACAACCATCTCTTAGTACTGAAAAAACCTAAAAATATGAAAAACAACCCCCCCTCCAAAAAAAAACCAGTAGAAGAATCTGAGAAAGTGGTTAGAACACATGGTTCCATCTGTCACACTAGGGAACCATCGGAAGGAGAAGGTGAGCTTGCTCAGGGTCGCCATGTACAGCTGCACAGGTTGGGCACAATCTCCAAATCCACAGGGGAAGCCCGAATTGCAGTGGATGGGGCTTTTTCCAGGAAAAGTGTACCAGGAGGAACGGGGCTGGTCACAGGATCTCACCTCAGGAAGGTGAGTGTGGCTGGGCCTCGCAAAGGAAAACCCTGCCTCATCGTGCAAGTCTCACTGGGCGCTCGTGTTACTGTTACCGGAACCCTCCATCCTGTCCTAGCGGGAGCTCTGCTGTGGGTATCTGGTCCTGACATTCAAAGAAGGACCCAGAGGGAGTCACTAAGCTTCTGAAGCCCGAGGAGAAGTGGCTGGCTGGGCATGTGGGATGCAAAAGCAGGAAGGAATGGGCCACTTGCCCGGAGAAAGCTGGTAGCTGTTGGGTCTGGACAGAGTGGAGTCTCAGAGGGCACTGTTGGTCCTGCCATTCTGGAAAAGGCTGTGGGAGAATTTAAGCTGCCCAACAGGGTTAGACAGTCTCAGCAGCCAGAGAGCAAGGCCACCCGAAGGAAGCCTCCATGGATAGTCCCCGCCTCATCCCCAGAGTCCTTCCTCCCCCCAAGTGGAAGGCTGGGAAGGTCAGGGGCTGTGGGTAAGAGACGGGGGTGGACAGAGGAGCTGACAGGCACTCCTTGTCCTTACCCTGGTACTCCAGCTTGAATCCTGGCCGGTTCTGGGAGTGGTCGCTGTGGAAGTACACGGTGGTCTCGTGGGACGTGGAGAGCAGGGAGCTCGGGATCTCGCTTCCGCTGAACCTGCCCATCATGCGGCTGGTCTCGTAGGGGCCGTTCCGGATTTCTACGAAGTCATGGTTGGGCTCGGTGGAGAAGTTCAGGAACTGGATGTGAGCTCCTGGGAGCAAGACAGAGGCAGACAGTGCCCAAAGCCACGCAGTCCTGCTTGAAGTGTGCCGCCTGGGGAAAGCGTCTCCTCCAGAGCCCACGAGTCCCTACCACTGACTCCCCACCCAATCACCCTTCCCAGGACACACTCTGGGAGAGGCTGGTCCAGTTTGGTCTCTTGTCTTCAGGCAGGACTGAACTTAAAAGTATACTATTCATTCAAAAGTAAAGGTATCAGCCATTTCAGAGCTCCTT